ACAATTCTATTAATTGAATTCCATTAAAATATCTTCAACAACCAACAGTGTATGTGGATAAATACACGTGGGTCGACACATCAATATGTGATAGAGTGGGATCTTTTTGCATTCGAAGCCCGTCACAGTAACATCAGTGCTGGTCACCTCAACCATTAAACTGTTCGTAATTTGTTATTTATTTCACGTAGTTTAATTGTCGGTTGTTGGTTCTTTTTTTCAAATTTTCATTATGGTTTTTTGTTCATATGTGATGCAAAACAATTTAATAAATGTACTTATTAATGTTATTTCTCAAAAATGCTTGATTCGCCAAACAAAATTTCTAATTAATTTTCTATGGTCATTAATTTACGTTGTTCGTTGAAATTCTGAAAATAATTTTCCCGTCATAAACTATTATTAATATCTGTGATATCTGTGGACTGTGACGCTGGTGTTCTTTACATATACCTGCGTCCAGGTAATTGAATAGGTAATTACGTTGGTGGTGATGGTGGTGATGATGGTGATGATGTTGTTGCTAGTGCTAAATATGATTATGATGATGACGACGACGATGATGATGACGACGACAACAAACAGGATAACAATGATGACAAAACAGTTGTTGAGCACCTATAAATGTTTAGGCATAAATTTTCTCCAAATAAAAATATCCCCTTCAAAATGATAACAAAACTTGATCGTTCTTCACATGACTTTATCTTATATTAAGCTATTTATACCTGTAAACCACTTGTAACATGCCAATAACGTTATCAGGTGACGACGATGATAACGATGGTAACAATTATAACTGTTGTTATCTGTTAAAAATTATCCTTTAGTTGTCGTAATTATTAAATTTGTATTGAAAATAATTGAACTTAATTCATCAAAAATGATATTATGAAAATTAAATAATAATAAGAAGAGGAAGAATAAGAAAAAATTAAAGTTGCAATAATAATAGTAATAATAATAAGTAGTACCGTTAGTTGGTGTTCTAATCAGCAGTATCACCAAAAATTATACACCGTGACGAAATCAACCACGTGATGAATATTTTTTAACATCATCACACCACATACACTCACTTGCTGTAAAATAATGTTGAATGCTGTTAGAATGGTGAAAAAACAGATCACAGTAAAAATGATGAAAATGAATAAATATATCTATATGACAAGCAAAACGGCAAAAGAAAGGTAGGAATCAGTTGGAAGACAATTAACATAAATTTGTTTGGTTGGACTTTTATGGCTAAACCTGATTACTGCACGTTTCGTCACTTGGTTTGCGCGTTATTCGTCATTATTATGTGTCAAGTTCATGATGCCTTTCTTCCTCTTGCTGATGGTGCTTGTGGTTAGTTTGATCTGTCGTGTTTTCTGTGCTTTTGTAAGTTTTGGTTTCCATTGGTCTTTATGGGGTGTTTGTTGTCATTCTGTATAATTATTTAATTTTGTTTATTGTTGTTGTCGACAGAGTTGCAGCATTTAAGTTTAGTGTTGGTTATTTTTTATTAAGTGTTCAACATTTTGGCAACCGTTTGTCAGTTTTGGTATTTAACTCAACTGAAGTTTTGTTATATAGCTTGATTTTAAAAACACTAAACATAATTATGTGTTTATGCTAGTTTTATTCAAACCATTTGAAAATAAAAAAAATTAAGTAACTGTAACAGATAGGGATTGAAGCAACAGTTGAATAACTAGGTAAACTAGTGCAACAGATAAAAATATGGTCAAAAGAAAAGCAAAGCATCCGAGAGTTGCAACTTTAGTACGTGAGAGACGCAACATTAAAAATGCCCGTGCAGTCAATTGCGCACAACCACCTCACAAACAATCTTTACATCCTTTCTTTGAAATATATCTCACATTACTATAACTGCTACTTTAACATTTTCAGGCAAACATTATTCAACATTGTAACTGCATGCTATGGTTCATTTTTCACTCTTAATTATGTGCAAACATTATTTTTGTGATTTTGAAATATTTTAGGAGCTTATATGACATTAATATTCCTTTCTTGATGTTATCCACTAAAACATTCCTTGGAAGACAAATTTTGTACAAATGTAAAATAGCAGTATGTGTTTATCTGTTAATCATGTTGAATGGCAAATATATGCTATTGCATAGGTATAAATTAATGTTTGTAATGTTTTCCAAAGCGTACATTTTATAGTTTATACATTAATCTTTTACAAATCATTTTGTCTTTTTAGTCTGAATTTTAAGTATATTATAATTTTTAATACCACAATAAAACAATGAAAGTTGTATCGCGAAATAACATAGAAATTTTTACAGAAGTTGAATGCTCGACCTAATGATCAGTCTTGTGGAAAAGTCGATAACTAACTGGCTAGCTGGCGGGTCGGTTTGGTTATGATTAGAATGGAGAATATGAAATCAAATATTTGAAAAAAATGTTAAAAAAGAACACGTAAGCAAAAATAATGAAAGACAAAATCAATATAATAATGGGAGAAATTATATTATAGAAACGACGGCGATGATGGAGATAAGTTTGTTATCGGAATCAAAGATATTGACAGCATTAGGAAGACGTGTTTGCTCCCTTACGAGGTTGATGCTGATGACAATAATGATGAAGATGAAGATGAATAAGATGACGACGTTTAGATCATTATCCAAATATAAACATGGCAATTGTATTCTTACAAGCTTTTGACAAATTTCGTCTCATTTTGCAAGCATTTCACTCCAGCTGACAATAATTTTTTAACTACCAATCTATTTACTTCAGGTTAATTTTAACTTTTACATCAACGGTATTTTTTCTAGTAAACAATCACACACTTCTACATGATTAAAAAAATATTTAAAATATTTCTGTCAGATACCTTTGATGAGATTTTTATTGAAAAATACCCCAAACTGACAGTGCAATACGCAGATCAGAAACGTTAGAGCACGCATTCGTCATTCTTCACAATTGCACACAGTATATATTCATTTGTCAGTCTAGCCTGTCTGTCTGAGATTTTTTATATTTCTGGTGAATACGTAAACAAAAATATGAAAAAAAACTGTTATCTTTTACAGTTTCATTCACAACAGCAAATATTTGTTGGTTTGTTTCAATTTGTTTGTTCTACATTATTGTTTTCTTCAAAATAAATTTCTACAATTTTTATATATTTTGTTTCGTTTTATGTCTTTTAAAATGTATTTTTTAGGTCTAATTTTGGGTCATAAAAACATCATACTCATATTCAGTAATTTTTTCTTTTATGTTCAAATATATTCTTACGTTATTATTATTAATAGAAAACTATCATGTAAACTGTTTTCAAAGTTATTTGTTGCATTTGTGTCATTTCATTATCCTAATTACTTAATTCATCTTGCCTATTTCCAGCGTTTTTATCATAAAAATTTATAAAAAAAAATAAAAAATTTTAAATTTGTCATACCAGTATAAAATTTAGAAGATATTTTAACTAATGTGATCATTAATTTTTCTACATTCCATATCATCCAATGTGATAATGATGAAAATGATTATGATAATGATAGTGATGAAATGATAATAATGACAACGCTGATGAAGATGATGAAGGCAGAAAAACTAATAACGATAAATATGGATTCCTCAAATGCATTGATGAATATGATGACTACATGATAAACACGATAATGACGACCTGAAGACAGCAATGATGATACTCGAACCCAATCTAACGTCACTTGCTATGGATAACTTAAATTATGGTCCTAGGGAGGATAATAAAAAAGTAAAGAAGGCAATGAAGAAAACTCGAAATTTTGATAGCAGAGCCAGGAAAGCTTAGAAACAAAAGCATCTAAAACATCATACAACAGTTATGTTAACTAATGATGAAACGTACTTACACAAACACACACACACAAATACACATGCACATGCACACACATACACACACACACAGAGCAATTAAATATCCAGGCTGACAACAACTATATAAACTTCGATGTAAGCCATTTTCACCGTTGTCACCTATTTACAATCACCAACAGCAAAACTTCCTACAAATTGTTGTACATTTGCAGGATAATTTTTTTAAAATGAATTTTCAATGAACAATGTTACAACATAATTTTTTTTAAATGCCTTCATGTAAATTTTTTTTGAAAGAAATACGAAAACCGAAAAATTTAGTCTTATGGTCCAAAACAGCAACGATGAAATATTCAAAATCACCATTATGAAGGTTAGACATGTCTCCGTGCCTTCATTTTCAAGAGCATCATTGCCACTACTTCACCATTGTCATTACTTCATCATATGGCTACGCTCGTTTTGTGTGTAATTAGTATTACTACTGAGTGATTACTTCTTTTCGTCAGTATAACTTTATAAATAATAAAGAATGAAAAGAGAGCTAGGCTAACATTTGAATGAGATGCGTTATTTCTTATTATGATGAAAGTAACGTGGTCAATAAATTTTACAGCGACAAGAGGGCTGACACAAAAAATATTATTATAATTATTATCATTATTATTATTGTTATTATTATTATTATTATTATTATTATTATTATTTAAACACGAGAGTTGGCCGATTTCGTACAGCTTACAGTTTTATGCATTATTACGTTTTTATTAGTTGATTAATTGGTTTTAAAATTTTAGTACTGTGTTGATAAAATTGTGTGGAATATGGCGGTGGTTTTAAAATTTAATTTTAATAAAGTCTACTATTTTATTTCAATTATTTTAATAAATTTAATTTACGAAATTAATGCAAGTAAATGCCCGTATTGCGATAAGGATTTTATTCAAGTAAAAAGACACACCTGGCGTTGTGCAAAAAATACCAACTCTAATAACAACATTGTAAGTTCTGCTGAAAAATCCAACGTTGAAGTTTCTCCTAATATTTATAATGCACATTCTATAGATAACAGTTCAATTAATTTGGAAAAAAATATTATTTGCTGCTGCGGTGAAAGCTGCAAAGGTAGAAAAGGCCTTATTATGCACCAACGTTCATGTAAAATGCATAATCAACTTAAATTAGCAGACAACCCTGCAAGCGACGTAGATGCAACCTCACCAACCTCGGAGCAGCAACCATCAGAACCATCAAATAATTCGACATCTACTTCGTCACCCTCACCAACAGAATCAATAGAATCAACTCTACCAGGCATCAAACTACCAAAAACTTCGACACTATGGTCAGAAGCAAACGCCTACTTCCAACTGCAACAACATACACTGCCAAGCTACCACGACATTGACGCATTTGCATATACATTTCAAAAAATGATTTACGACTACTTTGCCTTAAATTATGGCACCATCAAACCTCAAACGATCAACAACAACAACAACAAAAGTTCCAACAAATCTATTAAAGAATTAAAAAATAAATTGAAGTAACTAAAATTATTGGGCCGCAACAACCAGGGCTTTGACAATCTTATCAGATCAACAAGTAAAGAACTGCGAGCCAAACTGTTATCAACAAAAATATTAAAATCTGGTAAGTCATGTGGTAACATCACGTCTCAACTGAAACGACGGTTCTGGTGGACATGCAAAAAAATATTTGCCCGGACAGAAAATTTGAAACCGCTGTTCAACGTCAGTGATTGCACACATTATTTCAAACAAATACTATCCGATTATAACCAGAAAAAATGCCAACTACCAAACTGGACTCAACAGCTACAAAAACCATCAACACCCTGCAACACAAGCTCTCCATCATACCACGAAATATCTACAATAGTTCGCAAGTACAAAGCTAGATCATCACCTTGCCCACTCGATCAAATCTCGATAATTTCATTTAAAAAATGCCCTATATTACGCACTATTCTACACAAACTATTAATACAATGCTGGTTGTCAGACAAAATCCCAATTTGTTGGAAAAAGGGCTTCACGATCCTCATCCACAAAAAGGGAGACGCTCACAATTCTTCCAGATTCAGACCAATAAACATGCAACCAACACTCTACAAAATATTTTCATCTTTTATAAATAATAGAATTTACAAATTTTTAGAAATCAACAATTTCATAAATAAAAACATCCAAAAGGGCTTCTACCCGAAAATAGATGGTGTTACGGAACGTAATCAGCTTTTAACTCACCTACTCTACGATGCGAATAAACATTCGCAACGCATTCGGTGAAATCAGCCATAAACTCATATCATCAACTCTGGATTTTCATCACATCCCCTCTCAAATTATCAAACTAATTGAACATATATATACCGACTACTCAATCACAGTTTCAGGATGCGACCAACTAACCCCGCCCATTCCAATCAAGCGTGGTGTATTGCAAGGTGATCCCGTGTCTCCACTGCTTTTTAACCTCTGCTTCAACCCCCTGATGAAAGTCATAGAACAAACAGAGTACCAACAATGCGGGTACATATGCGGTCCGTCAGCCAGCTTAAAGACAAGAGCGTGGTTTCAGTTCGCAGACGACACGGCCATTATCGCCAACAGCACCGAAAGTGCTCAAAAACTCATAGATGTAAATCACGCTTGGTGCAAAGCAACTGGAATGAGTTTGAGAACTGACAAGTGTTTCTCGTTCGGTATGCGAAAACGCAGCGGGGTTTACGAACAATTCCTTCCGGCCCTATCGATCGACATCAAACAAATCCACCATGTTGACATCGGAGGTTATTTCGAATATCTGGGGAAAAAATATGATTTCGAAGGCAACAACACGAATGCCAAAAACCAGATGATCATCAAACTCAAAACATTACTATCAACCGTCAGTGAACTGGATAAAACGGTTCAGTGGAAGCTTGAAATCCTTGAAATCTTCCATCTCAATTTGCGTTTGAATTTTGCATGTACAACATTTCACTGACTTGGATTAGTATGCATCTGGACACCCTAATCACCGAAACAGTAAGATCATGGCTGTCATTGCCCATTAGTAGCTGTCTGTCGGAGACATTGTCGCTCCCATATAAACTAGGCGGCCTAAACGTTAGACCTCTCAAAAATTTTGCCGAATCTTTGAGATTAAAACTCCGTAGCTACCTGAAATCAAACGGCAACAAAGAACTTAAATGTTTATGGAGCGAGTCCTATAGCAATTATATAAAAATCGACAATTTGCTTCCTGACTTAAAGGACATAAAACCGGCACTCAGCATGTTAACGATCAAACAACAAAATCGATATATTCAGATGTGGACTAGGATGGGATCCCTCCAGTGTCTTGTCTCTTCAAATCCCTACGTCCTGACATCGCAATACTTCGTGACGACACAATAAAAATATTAGAGCTGACGGTCTGCCATGAATCCAACCTACTCAACTCAAAAAAATATAAAACCATCAAATACTCAGAAAATCTCAAAAATAATTTGCATGACAATTCAATACACCTGAAAATAATAGTTAATACTTTTGAAATTTCAACATTGGGCTTTTGCAATTTTTTAAATTTATCATTAATCAATAACATTTGGTCAGATCAATTTTATAATAACCTTATTAACTCTGTAATACCGTCATCTTATGCCATCTACTGTGAACGCAATAACAATTGAACTGTTCGTTTAAAACTAATCATATCTCGTTGTACTCGTTTATTTCAAATGATGAGCATCGTAGAATACTATTGTATTTAATTTAATTTAAATCAATTTATCTATTTTATTTTATTTTATTTTATTAGATTTTAATTAGACTTTTATCTCATTTTACTATATTTCATATTTTTCTAGAAATAAAAAAGAGTTCACATTATTATTATTATTATTATTAAAACATTTAAATAATAACTTTATAAACTGCTCTATAACAGTTAACACATTTGAGATATCGCCAATTGGTTTTTATAATAACTTGAACCTATCTATTTTTAAACTACATGGACAAATTATTTTAATGTAAAATTAATTAATACTGTTATTAGCTCGACATATAGTATTTATTGCGAGAGAAACAAGGCATAATTAAATATATCTTTCACTCCTATGCACTTGTAACGTCATCGAGCTTAGGAGGATCGTACATTTCATTAAAACTCAATTTTTATTAAACTTCATTTTATTTGTCATTTCTTATTTTTTATTATTTTGAATTATATTTTGTCGATTGAATAAATAAAATATGTTCACATTATTATTAAGTCATCATCACCATAATTATCATTCCATTCTACTCATCGCAATCAATAAAAACAACATCATCGTCATCATCATTATCGTAATCATTATAGTTACAACCCTCACTATCTTTAGTACGATCATTATTACCATTATCATCATCATTATCTTTAATACCATCATCATCACTATCATCATCATCACCCTTATCTTTAATCCTATCATCATCATCATCATCATCATCATCATCATCATCATTATCATCATCATCATTATCATCATCCTTATCTTTAATTCTATCATCATCATTATCATCATCATCATTATTATCTTCAATACCATCACCATCTTCATCATTCTCATTATTATAATTTAACGACATTAAAAAAATCACATTAACTTAATCCCCAACGCATCATCATCATCACCATCATCATCATCATCATTTTTTCCTGTGCGACAAGTATTATTGCAGCCATAAATAATCATAATGACGGCCTAATCACATTAACATTGTCCACAGTAACATCAACTCGTCATCATCACCTCGTTATCACCTGAATCATGATGATGATACTAACGATAATATCATTAATTTTGAAAAAAAAACCAAAACACCATCGGTCGAAATATTATCACCCTTTTCTTCATCATCATCAAAATTCATCGGCGCCAGCAAGTAGTAGTAGTATTAGTAGTAGTAGTTGTTGTAGTAGTAGTAGTAGTAGTAGTAGTAGTCATAGTAGTAGTAGTAGTAGTAGTAGTAGTAGTAGTAGTAGTAGTGGTGGTGGTTGTAGAAGTATTGTTTGCAAATTATTTATATTCGTGCGGCACCGGCGAAAACAATGATCATAAAATGATAATATCAACAAATAATAACCAAGATATCTGAGGCGGCCAAAATATTATCGGTGATGATCATAATAATGATTTCAAAGATGATTGATATCATAAACAATGACAATAATATCAATGATGGTATCACTGATATCATAAACGATAGTAAATAATTTCAAAGTTGATAAACTATGATACCAATGTGAATAATATAACAATAATATCACAAACAGATGATATCAAAAATGATAACAATGATATCGTAGAGTAAATGATATAAAAATGATGTCAGGCTGATTAGAAAAGTATCACAAGTGATAGTGATAATGTTGGTTGGAGTTTGATGTACATTGTACATCATAAACACGATACGTGCTCTATCAATTGCCCGCATAGTTCTTTCACTGCGACGCAAGCTCCATACAATTGCAACTTTAGCATTTTCCATTTTTTCCATGATCATAAATTCTTCTGTATAAAAATGTCCGTATCGTAATATCATATATATATATTACATTATTATACTGATTGATGTTAATTTCGTTTATTGTTATCAGTGCCATTTTTATTAATAAAGTTATTATTGTTATTTATTACCATCAACACTATCACTATTCTTATTGGTTGTAGTAGTAGAAGCAGTAGTAGTAGTAGCAGCAGTAGTAGTAGTAGTAGTAGTAGTAGTAGTAGTAGTAGTTGTTGTTGTTGTTGTTGTTGTTGTCGTTGTAGTAGTTGCAGTAGTACTAGAAGGAATATTTTTGTAATTTTTTTACTTCCTCCATAGTGTCATATATTGATACAATTTTAATTTGTGTAAATGTAAAAATAAAAAACTTGAATTTGTCAGTTTATGCCAATTGTCCTGAATATATATAACTAAAACTTGAATATATAAAAAACCACTAGCAGCGGAACAAACAACTCTGCACTCAATCACATGACCATCAAATCCTACAAGCAGAACGTATCATTACCGAACCGAATCTTCAACCATATCCGTCAATCAACACCAACACTTCGTCCAAACGAATACCGCCATACAAATATTTACTCGCACCTAGCTGATGACGTCACGATGTCGTCATCATCGCTAATGAAATATACAGGTAGTGGCGGCGTGGGTGGAAAGCGCGGGAAGACGTTTTACGGGCTGGAGAATGAGGAAGTTCTCCAGACGATCCCACCATTATTTATTTCAGTTAATTATGTGTGATTGTACGAGAGCCTGGATGCATGTTTGAATGTGTGTATGTATAAATGTATGTACGTACGTTTGTGTGATTATTTATTGTTGTGAGCGTGTTTTCAATAATTTATCAGAGTAATTGTTGTTAATGTGACGATACTTTATGTTGTAATAACAGTAGGGTGTATTCTTTAGTAAAAGTATTAAAAGTGCAACTTCTGTAATTTCTAGATTCTAAAAAATGTAAATCTACTTTTTTAGACTAACTCCTCTACCAACAATTTTTCATATAAACCAAAAAAAATTGAAACAACTCTATAGAAAACACACAAATATATCAATAACACATTAATATTAATCATAGGTAGTATATGTATGTAATATTTATATTATTAATAGTATAATTAATGGTTGTATTTTTATTTCAACGTTAATCGACTGGACTTTTGCATCTGCTTGAAGACCGAATGGTGATTCATGTGCTGATGGAAAAGGAAGAGTGTGCAAACGATCGTCATAATAACGATGCCCATAAAATTGTGAATTAATTACCAGAGATAATTGTTCTCAGATGTAACAATGCTTTAGCGGTGCTCCGAAACCTGCTTTATTACAGTAGAATTACGGTACAAAT